ACAAAAAAGGTTGAATCATGTCATCTGGACTTCGTTTTTTTGTTAAAGGCTAGGCCTCAGACTGACGAAGCCTCTTGGACGAGGGGCGAAACGTTTCTTTTTTAACAAAAAACGAAGTCCAGATGACATGATTCAACCTTTTTTGTTAATCTAATATTTAGTTTCTAGATCTTGTCCACCTTAGCGTTAGCTTCTGTTAGCATGCTAAGCTACAAACAAACAACACATTTACAAGTTCTTGTTAAGAAGTTAAATCCATCAACTACCTAGAAACCACAGCTAGCTAACATCGTCTGATGCTGAATGAAACAAACAAACCTGAACTCATTTTCTCTCCAACTCGACAGTTCCTCTTCGTAATCTGAGATTATTCCTTCAAAAAGACCCGATGTTTCTCCGCAGCTTCCTCCATTCTGTTGGACCCGCTGTCTCCACGGTTTTACTCCTCGGTGAACTTAGTTCTAGGTTGGATCTTCGACACATTCGCTCCGTGGATTCAGCGGTGTCTTCCACCCGTTTCACCCGCTGCTGGCAGCGAGATTACGGTCAGATCTCCTCCGCGCGCTCCCTCCTCCTGAACACAGCGGTTCTTTTAGGGACCGTCAACAAATTACCGAACGAATGACACAAACAAATATTTAAAAGTCTACACATCAAGTGAACTTCTGAACAAAAGTTAATCAATTTCACAAGCCTGGACAAATACAAATCAGTCACTTTTATCATTTTTAATGCATTTCCTTTGTCAAGTCAGATTTATTTATAGAGCACATTTAAAACAGAAACTGTTACCAAAGTGCTTAACAAAAATATCACATCATCAAATAAAAAGTAACAAGATATATTTACAGCACATGGAATAAAAATATAAAACCGCAAACATAATTAGAAACAATGAAATACTAAATCAGATCACCTATCCTGATGCATGCTCAATCCAGGTAGAAAAATCTAAAAAAGTTAAATCTGGTCCTCTGGACATTCAAAAAAAAAAAAAAAAAAAAAAACCCAAAACAAAGCAAATCAACAAAAAAATGTAGAAACGTTTCGTCTCTCGTCCGAGAAACTTCCTCAGTCTGAGGTGCTGTATTCAGCTCAGTCTCTTAAATAGCACCTTCTCAGAGTGGATCAACCAGTTTGCTGCTGACAACCAAAACCAGCTGATCACATGCTCAAGAAGGACCATCAGCCTAACAATGGATCATTATTATAAATCAGATCACGTTGTGTCAAAAGTCAAGGAAATAATAACAAAAAGCATAAACTCAGTCAGAAGCAATGAAACACTAAATCAGATCTGATGACCTTGTGTTAAATAGGAATAATAACAAAAGCATGAACAGAATCAGCATCAATGAAAAACTAGATCTAAATCCGATCACCCTGTGTTAAATGTCAGTGAGTACAGATGTGTTTTTAGGAGAGATTTAAAAATAGAGACTGAGGTGGCCTGTCAAATGTTGATGGGCAGATTGTTCCAAAGTTTAGGGCCCACGACTGAGAACGCTCGATCTCCTCTGAGCTTCAGGTGGTTTTTGGTACGGCCAAAAGCAGCTGGTCTGATGATCTCAAAGCCCGAGAAGGAGCATAAGGATGAAGAAGGTCAGAGAGGTATGATGGTGCAAGGCCGTTAATGCACTTGAATGTCAGCAGGAGAATTTTTAAATCAACTCTGACACGCACAGGAAGCCAGTGAAGAGAGGACAGAACCGGAGTAATGTGCTCAAACCTGCGAGTTCCTGTTAAAAGCCGAGCTGCAGCATTTTGGACGAGCTGGAGACGTGAAAGTGAAGCCTGACTGACCCCAACATAAAGTGAGTTACAGTAGTCCAGCCGGGTTGTAATAAATGCATGGACTAGTTTTTCAAGGTCGGATCTGGACAGAACGGACTTAAGCTTTGCTATCTGCCTTAACTGGAAGAAGCTTTTTTGTAGAACAGAGTTGATCTGTTTATTAAACTTAAAGTCCGAGTCTAACACTACCCTGAGATTGGTAACCGACTGCTTTAGATGAGGCTGAAGGGAGTGCAGGTTTACAGGATCAGTGACAGTGGTAGAGCTTGGGTTAAACACAATGACCTCAGTCTTCTGATCATTAAAACTCAAGAAGTTTGCAGCCATCCAAGTCTTGATGTCATCAAGACATTTTAGCAAAGGGTGGATGGATGCTTTGTAAATATTAGTTTTTAATAAAAATTAGATGCTTTACCAATCAATCAAGAAAAGTGTGTGTGTGTGTGGGGGGGGGTATCATCATGCCTGGTAGGGGTGAAGGTAATGGGGTCAGCCCCTGCCATGAGGTGCCCCTTATTTATTTTTCAAGGAGTTGGCAACCCTATATTTATAAGACTGAGTTTATTGCAGCTCCGTAGACTGACAAAGTCTTTTGCATAAAAGACTAAACATATCAACAAAGAAGAATCCATCCAGAGGACCTGACTTTATGTTGTTAGATTTTTCTACCTGGATTATTGAGCATGCATGAGGATATTTCAAACTACAGTCCATCGCCTGGTCTCCTTATGGTGTCTCACAAAATGCTTTGATTTTGTTCAATCATACAGATTGATATTTCATCCAGCTAACATAAAAAACATTCTAATGTTTTTCCTGTATTTCTTGTACCAAAATGGTATTTTGAGTAAAGTCACGCTTCATGATCACATTTACTGTGACTTTGTGTTGGAAAAATGTAAAGATCAATTTACTGACTATGACAGGAGCTAAAACTAAGCTCTCACTAAAAACTTGATTAATTTGCTCATTATCGTTTCAAAATTTGTGTTTACAGTTTTTCAAGTTTTTATTGGGAAATTATTTGTTTACAAATGTGTATAGCTTTTTATATTCATGGTATGGATGTATTTTTTCTTTAACCTTTGTATCATAACCTTTCTCATTTCTTCAAACTTGATATATGCATTTTTTTAAATTTACCTGATACATTTGTCTACAGAAGAGAAACAAAAACAGACTCATTAGAACTGCATTTGTTTTCTCCTGCTCACAGTGGGACAATCTTTACCACCCTATACTTGTGAAAATAAAATACAGCACTGATGTCACAAAAATTTTAGTGTTTAAAATTATATATTTGTTTAACAGTACAATATACATCGATTCACTGTGTCACAAAAGAGGGCCGCTATTGGTAAAACATCCAAATTTTATTAAAAAATATACATTTATAAAGAAAATGCATTTAAAAGATAAAAGTGACTGAGTCTTATTTGTCATGGCTAGTGAAACAATTTAGTGGTAAATTTTGTTCTGAAGTTGATGTAGGTTTTTAAATACATTTTTGTGTCAATCGTTCAGTAATTTGTTGACGGTCCCTAAAAGAACCACTGCGTTCAGGAGGAGGGAGCACGCGGAGGAGATCTGACCGTAATCTCGCTGCCAGCAGCGGGTGAAACGGGTCGAAGACACCGCTGAATCCACGGAGCGAATGTGTCCAAGATCCAACCTAGAACTAAGTTCACCGAGGAGTAAAACCGTGGAGACAGCGGGTCCAACAGACTGGAGGAAGCTGTGGAGAAACATCGGGTCTTTTTGAAGGAATAATCTCAGATTACGAAGAGGAGCTGTCGAGTTGGAGAGAAAATGAGTTCAGGTTTGTTTGTTTCGTTCAGCATCAGACGATGTTAGCTAGCTGTGGTTTCTAGGTAGTTGATGGATTTAACTTCTTTAAAAGAACTTGTAAATGTGTTTGTTTGTAGCTTAGCGTGCTAACAGAAGCTAGCACTAAGGTGGACAAGATGTAGAAACTAAAATATTAGATTAAGAAGCGGGAGGCTGTTTTTAATCTCTGAATAATTTTCAGTTTGGAGATGTCCTATCCAAACATCAAGGATAAAACAACAGTTTTACACACTTGGCAGCGAAGATATTTAAGGCTGTGTCCATGTTCAGGGCCTCAATGCGTCAAAGGCCGCATGAAGTCACTGCTAACAGCATAGATATATAAAAGCAGACGCCTTATTGCGCGCTGAATGTACGTCGCCGCCATATTGGATGTGGCAAAAGTCAAGTGATAGGAGATCGGCAACACACGAACAAAGCTGTGCAAGACTAACGTGACGGCACCTGCGGCGCAGTGGCCGATGGGATATGAGCACCATCTTGAAGGGCCAGAAGCGTAACTGTCAAACAATGCTTGCTCGCTGAATTTTTAAAAACTAAGTACCGTTGGTTAAAACAATTTAGCAATGGTACGAACTTGTTGCGTTATTGGATGTAATGTCAGGTCACACAACTGGAATGGTAAAAAGATTGAAAATAAACTTTAGTTTAATTGTTTTCTCGCCTGGAAAAAACGTGAGGGAGCTCATGTATCAGATGTAACAAAAAGCAGACGAATGGCTTGGATATCAGCGGTGACGGTGAGACGTCCTGATATAACCTTCTCCAGCGTCCCAAGATACCTGCTAGTTTGTTCCAGACATTCTGGTGAGTGTCTAAATTTGGTTCGTTGGTGTTGTGCCATAAACTTTTGCCATGATTTTGTCCGGGTGTATCATGTTTAGTTCATGTTTAGTTCATAGAAGTGGGTCAGCCTAGTTTAGGTCAAGTTTATATTTTGTATGTATTGTAGTCCGAGTTTAGACAGAGTGGACATCTGGGTTATTAAAGTTTCTAGTGTTATAATTTTTACAGTAATAATACTGATCTGTGTTCTGATATGTCCTCTTCAAGGCAAACCTTCATATGAAATGGATGATTTAAATCCTGACTGTGTTCCAACACTGCACATGGGTCACTCTGAGGTAAAAGTGTCAACATCAGACCAGCGCTCGTCGTTTAAAGAGACGTTACAGCAGAGCACAAGGGGAAGTTGAAGGCATCAACAAGTGGTGGAGGTTACAGAAGAGGAGCAAGTTAATATGAAACTGCAGTGCTGGTATTGATATATGTAAAATGTAGATTGAACTTTTTTTTTTGGCTGCACTCATTGTTTTGAAATATTTTTACAGTTGCTAGTACTGTTTTATGTAAAATGCAGATCATAAAGAAAAAAAATATGTTTCACTCATTATTTTGTGTTGAAATATTTTTATAGTTGAATAATGACTTAAGTGGTTGTTTTTTCTCATTTAATAAAAATTAATGTGGTAAACATTCATGAAACACTTGATTCAGCACTTCAGGTAATATGTAAATGTGATGAAATAGATCACATTTTTTGTAAACATTTGATGTATTCCAAATATTTCAGGTAGCAAGTATACATGTAATAAAATAGATCCTATTTTTAAGTAAAATTTTAATGTAATTAAAGTAAACAACTGTGTAATCAGACTTTTCAAACTAAACATTTCACTAGGGCTGGACAATAATTCAATATTGATATATGTCGCGATATACTTTTATTCAATAACAGTGATATGAGTTTTAAGCACATTTTCAATATTTTGATATGATTACAGCGTGCATTCCTTTTTCTGTTTGGGTTGAAGCGGCCGCTTCAGTTTCAACCCGGACAGAAAAAGGTGCGACACCGCTTCATAAGTGCGTGGTGACGTAGATCGAGTCCAGAAGGCGTTAGCGATAGCAGGCTAAGCTAGGCTAATCTCTAACGCGCGTTAAGTTTTTCCTTCAAAATGAGTGCCCATAACCGTCAGAATGTGACTAAGCACGATTTCAACAGCGAAGAGAAAGCAGACAACAATTAATAAGAGAGGAAATACTAATTTGGCAGTGTGGAAGTGGTTCGGCTTTCTAAGATCCGATAAACTGCAGGTTTCAGTCAGTGTGCTGCAAAATGTAATGGAGAGTCGTTCCAACTAGCGGTGGGAACACATCTGAAGAGTTTCCTCTCGGTAGAATATGCTGAGTCACAAGATGAATCACAGTGAAGTTTGAGCCAACGTGTCCCTGAAACAACAACCCCAGCTGTATCAATCATCATCTGGGGGAGTGGTGGCGCAGAGGTTAGAAGATGGGCTTGTGATCGGAAAGTCGCAGGTTCACCTCCCGGTACCATCGACATCAAAATGTGGGTGGAAAAGGTGAAACACCCACACCTCCCTCCACCCTCATTTGCCCCACTCTGGGCCCTTGAGCAAGGCCCTTAACCCCCACCATCTGGTCCCTAAACAGGTCTCTCTTGAAAATGAGTTCTCGTGGCTCAATGAGACTACCTGGATAAATAAAGGGTGAATGGAAAAAAATCAAAAGAGAAACACATGCAGAAACTCAGAAGTTTGCCGCATTTCTGCACTGAGCCGATTGGCCATTTATTTTATTAAAGTTAAGCCGCACTTTCAATTGCAGTCACTCACTGTCAATTTATGCACACTTTATGTGGATTCTTCTTCGTTGGTGTTCAGTGGGCGGCTTCTTCTTCATTTGGTGTTAGGCGGGCGGCTATTTCCGGTTGGCAGACTAGGCATCGAAAGTAGGAATTGAAAATAAATAATTCAAATGATTCCGGGAAAATCGGAACGTTAGTCCCAGTTTCAATCAATTTTCGATACTCTATGCCCAACCCTACTATGCATATCTGGTTTTGACCCTTTGCAAACAAATACGTTTTGATCTATAATTTGATATTTGAAAAACCAAGAACTCTTAGTCTAAAAATAAAATATTTGGATAGCGCTATTCTTACACCATTTTTTCTTTTTTACTAAAATTGACTAATATCATTCAGTAAACCAATTACTAGGGATCACAAGCCAGTGCCTCTCTGGTACCAAACACGTATTAAGGGTGAATGTTGTGTCAGGAAGGGAATCCAGAATAGAACAGTCATTTGATTGTGTCTTACTGAATAAAGTGGTGTTCCTTTCACTTGAAACAGTTCTGATCCACAGAACATAAATCTATAACACAAGTGATGTATGAGTGAATATAAAGTTAAATTTGTCCATATTTTCTTTGTTTCATTGTTCCCTGCAGATGTTCAACAGACTCCGCTGATCAGAGGAGATTCTACTGAGGAATGGAGACCTGATGTGGACCAGCAGGACCCAGAACACCTCCACGTCAAGGAGGAAGAGGAGGAACTCTGGACCGGATTGGAGGGAGAGCAGCTTGTTGTGAAGGAGGAGACTGATGCCAGCAGGTTTTCATTCACTGCAGTTCCTCTGAAGAGTGAAGATGAAGAGAAGCCACTGTTCTCACAGCTTCATCAGCACCAAAGGGAGGACAGAGATGTTCCAACCAGCAGCTCAGCTGACCAGATGAAAATAGAAGCTGATGGAGAGGACTGTGGAGGAGCAGAAACCAGCAGGAACCCAGATCTAAATCCTCATGGAGATGCTTCCAGCTCTTCAGAGACTGAAGTCAGTGAGGATGATGAAGAGGACGAGGATGGGAACAATCCTGACTCTCAGATAGAACACTTGTCAGACTCTGGGTCAACAACTGAAGACAGTGACAAAGACTGGAAGGAGAGCAGAGCTTCTGAGTCAGCTTCTGTCAACAAATGTTTCAGCTGCTCTGAGTGTGGCAAACAATTTCTCCACAACCAGTCTCTTCAGAGACACATGACATGTCATTCAACAGTAAGACGTGCAAAGTGTTTGGGTCAGAAGAAAAGTGTAGAGAGACACAGGAAAATCCAGACAAGACCAGAATCATTTAATTGTGATCAATGTGGTAAAAGTTGTAACAGAAAAGAACATTTAAAGAAACACGTGAGAGTCCACACAGGAGAGAGAGAGTTAAAAAGTGAGATTTGTGGACAAAGCTGTATTAATATTAAGTCAAGTTTAAACACACACATGAGTGGCCACATGGGAATTGAACCATATAAATGTGAGGTTTGTGGACGAATATTTAGCCAGAAGTTCAATTTAGAAACACACATGAGAGTACACACCAGACAGAAACCATTTGCATGTGAGCTTTGTGGACAAAGATTTAGTCATAAGTCATGCTTAAGCTCACACATGCATCGCCACACAGGAGAGAAACCATTTGCGTGTGAGCTTTGTGGGCACAGATTTCGCCAGAAGTCCCATTTAAAAACACATATGAATCGCCACACGGGACAGAAACCATTTGAATGTGGGCATTGTGGACAAAGATTTAGTCGGAAATCATGTTTAAACTCGCACATAAATCTCCACACCGGACAGAAACCCTTTGAATGTGAGCTTTGTGGACAAAAATTTAGACAGAAGTCCCATTTAAAAACACACACGAGAGTCCACACAGGACAGAAACCATTTGAATGTGAGCATTGTGGACAAAGATATAGTCGGAAGTCATGTTTAAACTCGCACATGAATCTCCACACTGGACAGAAACCCTTTCAATGTGAGCTTTGTGAACATAGGTTTAGCGAGAAGGCCTATTTAAAAGCACACATGGGAGTCCACACTGGACAGAAACTTTTTGAATGTAAGCTTTGTGGAAAAAGATTTAGTCGGAAGTCATGTTTAAACTCACACATGAATCTCCACACAGGACAGAAACCCTTTGAATGTGAGCTTTGTGGGCAAAAATTTAGACAGAAGTCCCATTTAAAAGCACACATGCATCGCCACACTGGACAGAAACCCTTTGATTGTGAGCACTGTCGACATAAATTTCGCCACAAGTCCGATTTAAAAATGCACATGAGAGTCCACACAGGACAGAAACCATTTGAATGTGAGCTTTGTGGACAAAGATTTAGTAGGAAGTCATGTTTAAATTCGCACATGAATCTCCACACAGGACAGAAACCTTTTGAATGTGAGCATTGTGCACAAAAATTTAGACAGAAGTCAACCTTAATTACACACATGAGAGTTCATACTGGACAGAAACCCTTTGAATGTGAGTTTTGTAGACGAAGATTTAGCCACAAGTCTAGCTTAAACAGACACACAATAATCCACAGGAAACAAAGTGCGCCTCTGCAGTGACTAAGGTCACTAATTTAGATTTCAGTCTGCTCTAAAACACATGACAACCCAGACGGGAAGGAAACTGAATTTAACTGAATTTTAGGTGTTTTCAACAAGAAGTTTAGCTGAGTGTACTTTATGTCTTGTTTTTCACAAACATAATAAAAATATCACTTCTTCTAGTCTTAAATTCTGGCTTCAAAAAATTAATATATATTAAATTTTATGTAATGCCCTCGACCACGAGTGTCTTGTTCTAGTTCATTTCTCGACCATCTTCAAGACCACCTTAACTGCAACAGCAACAGGCAGGTGTGGCAGGGAATACAGCATCTCACAAACTTCAAGAACAATCTGGGAGTGACTGAAAGTGATGCCCCACTGGCAGAGGAACAAAACCTCTTCTTTACCTGTTTTGAGGTGAAGTCACCTGAAGCAGCCATACTGAATCCAACAGTCCACAGCAGCCCTACCTTCACTGTTGAAGAGCATGAGGTGAAGCCCATACCATGGGCTGTCAACCCGAGGAAGGCTGCTGGACCTGACAGTTCTGAGAGAGAGCAGTCCATGGTCCCACACTTCTACAATGGTACCCATACCCAAGAAACCCCAAATTTCCTGTCTATGGCTGTTATGTGTAAAACTAGTGTTTATGTAATTATTTTCAGACTACATATCCAATATAGTTTTTATTCATTAAAGGTAGCCACATTTGTTAATAACTTTATTATTAGTAGACCTGAGAGTTACCAGATCCAAGCAAACAGTTACCGGAATGCACCCTGTCAAAATAAGAGAATTCCCGGATCCTGTTCCGGCAGGATCCAGCTGAAATCAAGTACTGGTCATGTTAGCTGCGCAGTGGCTCAGAAGAAAATGCTCCAGAGAGTTATCAACACAGCTCAGAAGATTGTGGTCTGCCCTCTTCTCTCACTGGAAGATCTACACAGTTCCCACTGCATAGAAAAAGCCCACAACATCTTAGCCCAGGCTCCATACCGGTCACAAGGCCAAGTTGTTAGACTTTGTCTCAGGGCTAAAACCAGGCCCCAAGGCCCAGCACCAAGCCAGGACTCCTCTGTCAGTCATCAGGTATTGATTGTGGGCTTGCAGTTCTCCACCATTAACTTAGTGTAAGTGTACCTGTTACTGCTGGAGCTGTTAAATGGTAAATGGACTGTATTTATATAGTTCTTTTCTATCTAATCAAGATACTCAAAACACTGTATGTTGGATTAAAAAAAAAAATCTGTTTTTGTTGTTTATATTCTAGTTTTGAATGTAATAAAACTTGAGGACAGTTTGGTCTCTTCAAGATTCAAGGTTCTTTATTTGTCAAACGTACCACATGTGGTACATGTGGTGGAACGAAACTGTACACAGGGTCCCAGTGACATCAAACAAAAGTATACAATGTAAAAGAAAAACAGTAAAAAGATCTAAGATATGAACTAAGAAAAAGTTAGCTAAAAACACACTAAGCACTAGTAGTACAAAAACAATACGTCAAACAGCAGCACGAACATGAGCAGATGAGTACGAATGAACACAGCAGCATGAAACGAATCAGCAGCATGATGTGATTTGTTTCACAGTGATTATCCTGGTTAGCGATTCATGAGTCTAACCGCCTCATGGTAGAAGCTGTTCCAGCATCATGCAGGCTCCTTGGCAATCCAGCAAACACATTCCAGAACAGTCCCTTTCCATCCACAGCAGCTTCCAGGATAATGGAATGCCAACCGATTAAATTAATCAATGTGACAGTGCTGTGGCGTTATGATGGGATTTTTTTTCTTTCACCCTTTATTTATCCAGGTAGTCTCATTGAGCCACGAGAACTCATTTTCAAGAGAGACCTGTTTAGGGAGCAGATGGTGGGGGTTAAGGGCCTTGCTCATGGGCCCAGAGTGGGGCGAATGAGGATGGGGGCAAGTGTGGGTGCTTCACCTACCCCACCCACAATTTTGATGTTGTCGGGGCCGGGGCGTGAACCGGCGATCTTCGGATCACAGGCCCACCTCTCTAGCCTCTGCGCCACCACTCCCCCACTATGAATGTTACTGCCATCAATAGCACCCACACTGTGGGAGCCCCCACCTCTTCTCAATGCAAAGGGACATTTCTCAACCTCTCTTCGTCACACAAACGGATTTGTTCTGGCACCAACAATGTCTCTGCTGCAGCACAAAACTCCTGCACACATACACACATCGTTGTGATGCTGACTCCAAAAAGATGTCCAACACTCCTTTACTCCGATCCAGTAGCCAGCTTCCACAGTGCAATAGCCACTAGGGATGTGCGATATGGCATAAAATTCATATCACGATATGTATTGTGAAGGGGGGGGGGGGCGATAACGATATATATCACGATTTAGTTTTGCTATAAAACTTGCAGTAGGAATGATAAAAAACATAGGGTGTCCTTTTGCCATCATTTATTTTGAAAACTGCTATACCCCAAAATAATCTCAATTAAGAAAATTCCACTACTAGGTCCAGAGAGTTTTTAAATAATAAACAAATCAAGTATTAGGCTTCTTTCTTGTAGTGCAAAACAGTGCAAAAACTATCAAATGTAGTTTTAGCCATGTTTTAAACAAACAAACAAAAAGTTGTTAACTCAACAGTTTCCAGTCTTCTCACTTAAGAAATGAACAGCAACAGAGCAGCATTTCTGCAGAATCTGTTGGACTCCTGGCAGGGACCAATGCAGACATGTTCCTGTTTTTAGTTTTCTACATTCGCCTTAGAATCTAGCTGTTTTTTGTTACCTTTTTTTTAGCCATCCTATTTGTTTAAAAAAAAAACCTGGAGTAGGACTTTTTATAACTGTTTATTGTTGTCGCTGTTGTCCATTGTTGTCATCATTCTTTGTTGAAATCAGGTCTCTCTTGTAAATGAGTCCTCGAGGCTCAATGGGATTTACCTGTCTAAAGGTTGAATGAATTTTACACTGAAACACTTCACCCTCCAACCCTCTAGTGGGCGTCTCCTTCCGCTTTAAGGAGAGCTGACACAAAATGGCGACCAGTTTCCTCTGTGACTTTGATCAGAGGGTCTCGCAGTAAAATCACACAACACAGCGTTCTTTTCACAGATCAGAAAGCAGGTTTCTCTAAAGCTGACCAACGCTTACTTTAACTTTCGACAGAAAAAAAAACTTTTGACGGAACACAACGTTTTGTGCATGCATCTAAATACGGCAACACTACGGCAAGTCAGCCTTAGTAAGCTTGTAGCTTCGCTACTTAGCACTCGAAGAAAAGACTTTAACACCACTTACGCACAGTTTTCAACTCAAAAAAAGTAACGATTAAACTGACAACTATGATTTTACATCAGACACAGCATTACTGTGGTTAGCCGGTAGAATATAGATCTCTATCGTAGGCCAAATGTCTATCGTTTCTACCGTGTATCATATATATCGCACATTCCCAATAGCCACTCTCTTCTGTAATGGCACACATTGGCAGAAAGTTGAATGCTGTCGCTCCAGAGCTGGCTGTAGTTTGTTGCACAGGTAGATAAACATTTGTTCCGACATCCTGAAGTTACACAACCACTGAACGTTTGTGAAACCAGGAACAATATAATCCCACCACTGAGCAGCTCTATTATGCGCCCACACTGTAGGTCTGCTGCGATTATCGTTAATGGAGAATAATCTGAAACACACACAGCATATGTATTACTAAATCGTATTTAATCGACATTTACATATTTTTACGCTCTGATTTTTTCACATGTATAGCCCACTATAGCAGATTAGCATTAGCTTACCCTCACACATCGTCTAGCTCGCATCCTGTCTTCTATTTCATATCGCTTTATGGCTTCCCACACTCTCCTGTACTTCTCCAGAGTATTTTGCCTGTGGCCTGCAGCCTTTTTCAGGTCTCTTCTCTTCAATGTCTGGCAAATAGCCACAGACTGAGCAGAATGTTCAACAAAGCTATGATATCCTCCATTTTTGTTGTGTCTCTTTTCAGGGTCTAAGGTGTGTTAGACTCTGAACCCGCCCACTAGAACCGATACTGAAGTATAATGGAGACAACTATACTGTACAGAGACGAGTCGAACCGTGCTGTACCATACTAATGGAAAAGGGGCAATACAGATTTGCGTCTTTTGAGCAGCTGGTACAAAAGTTCAATATCCGCAAGTCACAGTTTTTGCAGCTGAGACATTTTGTGAAGTCTAACTCTGATTGTTTTCCTTTGTACACCTCTAAACATTTTGCGGCTAAGATTTTGGAATGCAGGTCTGATACCAAGGGGGTCCTTACAGTGGTGTAGTCAGCATTTTTGTAATGGTTATACTGTGCTTAGAAACAGTGGTGTACTCTACATTTTTGTAGTGGGTATTAAATAGTCCCTCGTTTATCACGGGGGATCTGTACCCTGAAGACACACGATAGGTGAAAAGCTGTAAAGTAGGAATAGTAGTACAAGTAGTAAATTGTAGTTTATTTTATTATTTATATAGATATATATTAAGGCATTTTAAACTCTTCCCATATTCTTGCAATATTCTAAACAATGTTTCTAATCTCTAAATGCTCTAAAAGAGCACAGAATGTCATGATTTCTGCTCCCTGCCTCGGCTACTCTTTGCCACCTGCAAGCGCTCTTGGCCACGCCCACTTATCCACTCTGCACCTGAACAGCTGATCAGCTGCAGCAGGAAGTTTATCCTGCAGCAGTTTGGGCTGCACAAATCTGCAGGAGGAAGCTTTTTCTGCTGCTCTGGGCTGCACAAATGTGCAGCAGGTGCTAAATAATTTAAGCACTGGTCACTGGTGCCCATACCCAGCCATCGCTGTGCAAGAGGTGGTGGACACTCTAGACAAGTCTCCAGTCCATCACAGGGACACATAGAGACAAACGAGACAAACAACCATTCACTCTCACCCTCACCTAGGGACAATTTAGAGTTACCAATCAGCCTAACATGCATGGTGTTTCGTCTCTCGTCTCTCATCGAGACGAAAGACGAGAGACAAAACGTTTCTACATTTTTTTGCTTTGTTTTTTTTTTTTGTTTTGTTTTCTTGTTTTTTGAATGTCCAGAGGACCAGATTGAACTTTTTTGGATTTTTCTA